CCTGGAAACCTTGGATGTTGAGTGCTGCAATTTCCAAATGTAACCGCTACGTGATTCACTCGAATACACTGTTCCATCTTTTATTGTTTGGACTGAATTAATTTGATATTTTTGCTTGCAACAACCGAGCATATAATTGGACAACTGGTTACGGAATTTAATTTAGACAACATCTAACAAATAACTAATACAGTGAACGATTTGAAGTTTAACTCTTAAATTTTTTAGATCAAAATCTACGATTGAATGCACATCTATGGTAGGCTTACTGAAGGGTATTGACGAGGACAGTTTGAACAAACATGTCACCAGTAGAAAAAGCCAGCTGATACTCATGATGATACCGACTTTCGCGTCAAGAGATGCAAATGTGGTCCAAACAACTGTTTATCTAGTCAGCCACGCTACGTGAATATGGCCAATAAAAAATGAGCCATTACTTGGCACCCTGCAATCAATTTTTAGCCAATCAGGTCCATCCAACAGCGCTGATTGCACTAGAAAGCGATTCAGTCGATTGTCAACGTAAACTGATTGACAAAATTAGGGGACAGTCGTTTGCCTCCGTTCTTGTCACCAACGCAACCGCTTCATCTGTATTTTACCAAGGTGTGTGTGAACATGTGTATCCACGCGGTCAATACTCATAATTAATTTTCGACTGCAAAACTTATGCAGAAGAAACAGAAACAAAACCAAGTAGTTACAAACGCCAAGGTGTTCATAACTGAGCGCTACTCAATACAAACCTCATTGCATTAGTTGGAAAAGTTTGGGGCCGATTTAGATGTCATCGTTTGGCAAACAGTCAATGGATTTATTGCTGAGCAACGTTTCGCTTCTGACACAAAAGCTTCGTCAGGCCAAGTGAGTAAGTAAGTAGGTTGATTGGATCGTAAGTCAGTCAGGAAACCAATCCGTGAGATTTCTTATGACTAGCCGACTTGATCAGTGCTGAGGGTTCAGTCAGATGTTCCTGTATGTTGGTTAGTGGGGATGACTAACATTTACGATAGATTAGTTAGGGGAGAGAATTAGTCTTCATGCTGAACCCGGATATTTCGTCCTTGCTTTTTAGTCTAGGACACCTTAAAGGAAAATTCCTCGATACGTCACCAGCAATAAGTCTACCGACCGTTTACCCAACCTCTCCGAAATCATTGCATTAACTTGCACTTTTTTCAGTCCATTTATTAAGGGAATGTCTGCTTCACTGCCCTATTATATGCGCTAGGATCTGGATTCCATCTTGTCTAGACAGTAGTATATGTGCTTGTCAATAACCACGGGCCAGTATCTCCCAAAGTGAGTCACTAACAAA